GATGGACACAGTGGATGGATGGATGGACACAGTGGATGGAGGATGGACACAGTGGATGGATGGATGGACACAGTGGATGGATGGATACAGTGGATGGATGGATGGACACAGTGGATGGATGGGATGGACACAGTGGATGGATAGATAGACACAGTGGCCGCAACAATGGGCTCCAAGGTAAGCACGGCTGTGAGGAGTGCCCACGACTTGGGGCGAGGGGGGTTCCTCCCTCTGGACAGTCAGAACTGATGAGATCAGACGGCACCAAACACCAAGGACGAGGGGGGCTGGCATTCCGTCTACTCCTGAAACTCAGCCAACCAAAGTCCCACGGGCGAGTCCCGATGGCCCGACCCCCCACCAGTCGGGGATGGCACTGGGCATGTCCTATCCTGTCCTGCCCGGGGTCACCGTGGGCCACAAGAGCACTCAGTGCCGGACCAGCGAGGACACTGCTGCCACCGCCATCACTCTCCTTAGCTCTGGTCTGTGCCTGCAAACGCCCAAGTGTTTAGAGTAAGATAGTCTGACCCTGGAGCAGGCAGCAGGCGGCTCTTCCTCACAGGGGCATCCTGGGGGCACTGGTGGGGGGGCCCTGGCTGGGGGATCTGGAGACTTGAATTCCCCTCTGAGCATCACCCCCTGGACCGTGGTGTGGCTCGGCTCGGGGATGAAGGAACCCTGTTAGCTGAGATCAACATCCATGACTATGGAGAAGTCTGTGGGGAGTGGAGTGTCCCGACTCCCAGGTGTGTGTAGTGTGTGTGAGCCCGAGCTCAGCCGAGCCCCAGCATCTTCTTCTGTAAATTGGGCCCCAGCCACTGGCATTGAGCACCCCAGGACCCAGCCCTGAGCCTGCCCGCTCCCTGACGCCGGCAGACTTGGAGGGCTGGGGTCCACGTCCACGTATGCCTTGTCTGTTTCTCACCACCCCCTCCCCCTTTCTGAGGGGAAGGTGGTGGGGAAGGGCCTCTCCTAGGAGTGATGGCAGTGCGGGGGCTCAGGAGCTAAGGGCCCTCCCCCCCCCTTCCCCCCCTCCCCCACATCCTCCATACAGGCCGCCAGGGCTTCAGTGACAATAGGATCCAAACTGCAGCTGGCAGCCAGGCCAAGAACTTTCCGCAAGGATAGTGATCTCCCTGGCAGTCCAACAAGTTTTATGTTTGGGATTTTTTTTCTTTCTTCTTCTTTTTGATTGTTTTTTTTTTTTGCCTTATGAAAAGAAATCCCACCAGAAAGAAACATCCCTGTTATGCAAGTTCCTGGAGGCCAGAGTGGGGCGCTCGCCGGGCTCCATCCCACCCCTGACCCTCGGCTGTATCTCTGCCCACTGTCCAGGCACCAGCCTGGGCTTGAGCCCACCAGGCACCGTGATGGGAGGGGGCAGGACTGGGAGGGAGTGCCCCCGGCCATAGGGGCGGACCCTGATGCTAGTCCTACAGGTGGAGAGTTGGAGGCCAAAGAGGGGCCTGTCCTCAGTTCCCCTTCCCTGGGCCTTGGCCTGGATCCTTTATTCAGGGGCAGAGGCAAACCAGGGGTCCCTGCTCAGCTCACCCTGCGAGAGGAGGGGCCGGCCCCTGAGGGTGAGCTCTGGAGAGATGCCATTGGTTGAGTGTGATCTCAGGGGAGTCTTTCCAGGTGAAGACGGAGTGAGTGGGGGAGCAACGGGGAGCCTACTAAGAGTGAGGGGTGTGGTCTCAGCTCAGCCTTTCTTGCCCGTGACTCCACACCACTGGAGGTTGTCATCGTTGTTAGGTGCTGTTGGGGTGACTCGGAGCCAGTCCATGGGTCCCAGCAGAACTCTCCTGTCAGGGTCCCCGGCTGTCACCAATATGGGAGCAGGTTGCCACCTCTTTTTCTCTTGGTTGATAGGGAGGGTAGAACTGCCGACCTTCTAGTGAACAGCCAAGTACTTACCCACTGTGTCGCCAGGCTAGACACCCATTTCACCTCGGTGGGTCCTGTCTGAGAAGTGAAGCCACTGGCCAGCTGGGGTGTGGACAGCAGGCCAGGAGTTGGTCATACAAGGGCCCACCCACCCTGCACTTCATTAGGAGATGAGAAGCAAGGGGGTCCATCTGAGAATGGTCAGCCTGAAGGATTCTGGGAAGCTGAAGAAAACCTTCTAGTCTGGACCTGGATGACTGGCCATTGGGATAGATGGAATGGGATTCCCAAGAATATGAGAACAAACTCTCAGAAGGAGAGAGTTGTCTGTGATGCGAACGGGGGTGTACCACTGTGAGGTGGGGCTGAAGGCAGCCACTTTTGAGGCCCATAAGGAGCAGACTTGGGCAGAGAAGTGAGGAAGCAGGGATGGGGGTGGGAAAGGGGAGGCGGTGGAGGGCAGGCCGCCTGCAGATCACCCAGGACCCAGGGACCAGAGCTCGGCCCGAGAGTTGGGGCCCTGAACTCAGACTCAGCCTCCCAGCTGAGAGAGGGGCCCTGGTGCACAAGGTTGGCAGTTTGAATCCACCAGCCGCTCAGAGGGGGGAAGATTCTGCTTTCTACTTCTGGCAAGAGTTACTGACTCCGAAACCCACAGGGGCAGTTCTACCCTGTCCTCCAGGGCCACTAGGGGTCAGCACTCATGGCTGAGAGCTTGAGTCACTGGGCGAGCACACATTTCTGTCCATTGAAGCCGTCCACGTGCGGAATGCCCATCCCAGTGGCCCAGTCGACTTCCTTCGGGCTCGGAGGCTGGGTCTCCGACCGAGGCAGCCAGGGAACCCGCCCTGCTCAACTGGCCAGCCTAAGCCAAGGCCTCCTCACGGGTGCCCAGTCCTGAGACCTCAGCCGCCTCCCGCCCTGCGTGGCCACCACCAAGTGCT